GTGCTGTGTGAACAATGAAAATCATTCTTTAAGTCACATAGTTTGAACCTGGCAATGTTGGAGGCTCCATGTGTTAAAAGGATATTTTATACAAAAGATGTTTTATTATGAATGGTCTTGAGTATATCTTGTGTCACTGTATTAAAAGATTTGATTGTGTCTGTAAAGGCACTGAGCTGCCCCAGGCTTTTTTGGTTTTATTGTGTTGCAAGTCTGAATAATTAGTGGATAATTAGGCTTTTCTGACACTGATGAACACAAACAGAGGAAGTCAGAGTGAAAACAAATCTCTGCAGATTCATTTGAATTAAGCCTGAATATAAAGGACAACATTTGAGCGTCTTTGAGTCAGGTTTGAGTTGAGTTGGGAGAGCTGTGACACAGATCATGCTCTGTCAGGTTCAGGTGGACTCATTGGACTTCGGGTCTGGATTCTGACTGGTCCACTCCAGGGCACTGATGTTTAAAAGCTTTGGCTTTTTGTTTGGCCGTGTGTCCTCTCCCATGTGGCAGATCTCTTGCAGATTTTGTTGCAGTGGTTTACCCTCTACCTTTAGTTCCTTCAGTGGCGTGCTGCTGTGAAGCATCCCCACAGCATGATGCTACCATGCGGTGTGCATACTGACATGCGGTGTGGGAATCATCAAACACAAGAGTTTAGCATACGGCTTAAAAGCTCCACTTTGGTGTCATCAGATCATAGAACCTATTCCACGTAGTCTGTCTTCCACGTGCCTGCTGGCAAACACCAGCCTAGATGTCATGCGAGTTGTTTTCAACAGTGGCTTTGTCTTTGCTGCTCTACCATAAAGCTGAGAATGTGGAAGTAGTCAGGGGAACAGATGTCCTATGCACAGTGTCTCCCATTTTCCCCATGGAGCCCTGTAGCTCCCTCAGTGTCCATCACTTGTTCTCTTCTCACACAGACACTCTAGGCAGACTGTTAGTTTTTCTCCTGATTAACATACTGGACACTCTTGATTGATCCTTTAAAACAAATAAAAAATGAACTGACCTCAGATTTGTTTGGTGGAATGTTCCTTTGTATTCGTGACATTTTTGTTGTAACAAAATTGACTTCGCTTGAGTCGAACGTTCCTGATACGGTGTGTTTGACCTAAAATTACTTGTCACACCTTGGTTACACAGAGATGAGCTTCAAACAACCCAATATGTCACTTCCAAAAACAAGGCTTGAAATTTGAGCTAGCATCAATTTGAAGAGATTTGGTTTTACTTTTTAATTTGATCACTGTCAGAAAAAATCCCAATTACACCCACTGCTTTTCACTGTTATTAAACAATAAGATATGAAATGATCAAAAAGATTTTTGTCTAAGTGCATGACTATTACAGATTTTGAAGTTCTCCTGTGACTCTCCAGTGACATTTATGCAAGTTGTAAATATTACAAAGTATGATGATTTTTATGGTTAAACTGTAACTGTAATATGAGTTTGACTTCTATCTGCTCAGCAGTAAAGGGAATGTGTTGCTGAAAGTGACTTGCGGTATACTCAGAGGTAGCAGCGAGCCACCTCTACCCCTCAGGGCTTCCAGGCTCCAGAAACTTTCAAGGAGAGTCACCCCGTGGCCCCTCCCTCTTGTGTTTGTGCCTGTGTGAAGTGCACCTGCAGTGCTTCAGGGATGTGATTTTTCAGCTTTATTGGACACACAAGTCCCATCTGATGTGTAACAACATGTTAAGAGTTGTCCTGCCTTTTTCCCGAACACAACCCTGGCTTAGGTTTCTGCTTGTGTGCATATCAGATAATGTGTTTGTTTTGTATCTTGAGTACATACCTGCTGACATGGTTGGTGTTTTCGGGGACACACTAAAAGATTTATGCAGCCCCAGAACTGAATGTCTGATGGCGTGTTTCAGAATCGGTGTCAAAATGGGACACGTTGCCCTGGAATTAAACTCCTCAGCTTGTGCAACCAAAGGAACAGAGTTACAGCTTTTGATCCAACAACACAGGAGTCAGCAGAGACATTGACACACGAAGGCAGCCTCTAACATGACATGTCACATAAATTATGCAAGCACACTCATCACAGTAGCTCTCATGCTCCTCATTATCCTAAACTCTCTGTTCACAGATCTACATGCTGTATGGTGTCATTGTAGTTTTCAGTCTGTTCTTGCCTCGTTAATACACACCGTCATCCACTGTGGCAGGACACACAAGGCCACTTTGTTGTTTTCATTTGTTCAATTAAGCTGTTAAGTTGACTGACAGTCTCAACTTTCTCTCCCCCTCTCCTGTGTCCCCCTTTCCCTTCTGCTCTGTCCCTCTGCCAGCCGGTGGCTGAGCCCATTCCCATCTGCAGCTTCTGCTTGGGGACCAAGGAGCAGAATCGCGATAAGAGGCCAGAGGAACTCATCTCCTGCGCCGACTGTGGCAATAGTGGTGAGTGCTGCTGTGTGATTAGTGTCTTTAAAAACGCCACAGCACCAGTTTTCAAACAGTTGTCTGCAAAGTATAGGTGTGTTTGTTAAAAGTAAAGTTCTTTCAAATCTTTAGTCTTGTCATTTTTTTGTTTGAAAAGGCATTTGTAAAAAACAAATACCAGCACAATGCTAAGCACACACACTGGAGCTGTAAAAAGATTGCTATGAGTTTAATTTTATGAGGCTGCCTACTATTTACAGTGCGCACGCTTCCACTGCCTCAGGCGCTTCTTCTTCAACTGAGATAAAAAAAAGGAAGTAATAGTACGAGTAATTTCATCTTACTCTTCAACTGACATTTCAGCTGATTTTATCAGCCTTCAACTGCTTTCAGTGGTTACGTCAACATAAATTTTACCGCCTTCATTCTCTTACTCTTCAGCTGACCTTTTAAGTGCATTTATAAGTTAACTTACAGTCGCATTGCTCTTGAGTTTATTTGCTTTCAGTGGTTACACTTCAGCTGACACTTGCAACTCAATTTATCACACTTTTTTCCACACACAACTCAAAATCCTCTCAGCACTTTTACTTTAGCTGATACTTGAAGTTAAAGTGCTGAAAGCACCTTCAACTGACACTTTTTTCAGTATTTTAACTATTTTAATGGTTCAACTGCTAATTTGCAGCTGTGAGCACACCTACGTTAGAAACACCTGCAGGAAATGTAGCCGTAATATTCTCTACAATTATTCTGTATAGTAGTACTGTTGTTATTCTAGTTATTTTATATAATTTTAATGTATTATTATCTCTTCCCCCTTTTTGGGTCAAGGATGCCATGTTTAAACTCAATGAACTAAGATGAAAACAATGGTTGAATACATTACATCCTGGCTCTGCTCTATGTGTTCAGAAAAATTGGGTTTCCTACGAAATCTCCTTTGTAGTATTTAGTAGTAAGTTGTATTATTCGCACTAAGGCCTGACATTGCTTCGTAAAAGCAGAGGAGAAATTGTGTTGCTCTTCTTTCCTCAGTAGGTTTCTGTCCCAGACAAGGCCGTCTTGTTTGCTATTCTTCAAGCAGAGCAAAAGCATTGCTCTGACAGATTGTCATTTATGTTTGCACACTCTTTATACAACCAGGTTTGATTCTGTGAGGGCTTTCAATTCCAAAAGGAGCTTCTTTTTTCTCTCCCCTACAATGATGCAAGTGGGTCACGGCTGTCAGTCAGTAGCGACAAAAAAAAAGAGCCTGTGACGTTGACGCACTTGTTTGTGTATGCATATCTATCTATCTGCAGGCCACCCGTCCTGTCTCAAGTTCTCCCCAGAGCTCACAGCGCGAGTCAAGGCTCTGTGGTGGCAGTGCATCGAATGCAAGACTTGCAGCAGCTGTCAAGATCAAGGAAAGAATGCGGTGAGTGGATGAGCGAATATGGCGGACTGGCAGGGTCTGTGAACACTCGTCTCTGCTCAAGTGCCAGATAGAGATGCTGATAGACGTTATCTGTGGTCCTGGGATTGAGTTATTTTAGTCATCCTCAGCATGATCAGCTTTCTCGTACTTGTCAAGTAAGGAATCATTGTTATGCAGGTGTTTGTTGGGTGAGACAAAATGCATACTGCCATCTATAAACGGGTAGTACAGAGTATTTCAATGCATTTTGTTATGTGAAAAGGTCATCAAAAGTTGGAATTAGAATGAGCTCAGGAGCTTTGATCAGACCTCCAGTAAATGTCTCTTCAACATCTACCTCATATCGATCTAGTTGGAGACACTGACTGACCTGTATTTGACTTAATAAAAATAAACTTTTGGCCCAATATATTGTTGTTGCTTTCATGTATGCTTGCCATGTACAAGGCCTCACTATTGAAGTGGGCCACTGAGACTCACATCTAAAGCCTTTGATAATCATCAGTACTTGTGTGTGTGTACTGCACAGGACAACATGTTGTTCTGCGACTCCTGTGACCGGGGCTTCCACATGGAGTGCTGCGATCCTCCCCTCACGCGGATGCCAAAAGGTAAATGAACTGGACTGCTCCTTTAACGCATCACCTGCCTTTTCATTACCCATTTACACCCCCACCCCAAGAATTCAATTTGCATCAGTTCTACATCTGAAAGAGTACACAAAGCTCACACATTACTCCTCTATGTTACATTATAGTCACACTAAATGATTTCTTGAGCTGTTGCTTCTAACTCTTAATGAAGCACCTAATGCTTCACCATTAAGTGCTAATGTATTCGATATGTCCCAGAGCATGTTGGTATCTGCACTGAAGCCTGTCTCGTCTAATCCACCTCAGTGTATGTGAGCCGGTGCTTTCTCTCTTCCTCTCCCAGGCATGTGGATTTGTCAAATCTGCCAACCCAGGAAAAAGGGAAAGAAGCTTTTACATGAAAAGGCAGCACAAATCAAACGGCGCTACAACGCACCGCTGGGACGGCCCAAGAACAGGTAAAGAAATGCCTTCAGCTAACGGCGTCTTCGTCAGTGTCGGCCAAGTGGAGAGCTGCCACAAGCTGCCATGTTTCTCTATCATCAGAGTGTAGACGAGTTAATAGTTACAGCTTACAGCTATGTTTTTATTTTATGGCCATTTATCTTCTTTGTCTAATGAATAAATAGATATCTATAACAGTGTGTGGTTGAGCTGTCCTCCAGTAGCTACATATGTAGTCCCACAAGCAGGGCTCTGGACCCATCAAGCTGGGTTACCTCCTAACACAGTCTTAACCGGAGTCCCTACTTCCTCCACAGGCCGGGGCGGCCCTTCAAGAAGCTTGGTGGGCGTGGTCGGCGGAAGCGCTCGGCCTCACCCAACTCATCCTCCAGCTCGTCCTGTGAGGGTTACCCTGGGGACGACCGGCTGCTTTTTTCGCTGCGGGATGACGACGACCTGTCGCAGAGCAGCCTGCGCTTCAACAACAAGACCAAGGGCCTCATTGACGCCCTCACAAAGTTCTTCACACCGTCGCCCGAGGGCCGTAAGGCGCGGCAGGAAGTGGTGGACTACTCCCAGCAGTGCCGCATTCGAAAGAAATCCCATCGCAAAGGAGATGGAGATGATAGAGGGGGTAAGGATCAACTGTGTTTTTTTATTACATCCCTTGACTGTCATTGCTGGATGAATGTTTTCCATAAATAAAGTCAGTATTTTATGACTACAAAAAGTTCCAAGATTAGAATATGTCAAAAATAAGAATATGTATGTGACATGGATATTATAAATGGCTTTGGAATTGCAATGCGAGTGAGCACACAAAGTAAAGTGAATGTACTGTATTATATTTAGTGGAAAAAGAAAGCTACTTTGTAACAGCCAGTGACAAAATTATTAATGCACTGTGAAAACATGTAAAGTAGACTACAAATTTAACATCTGAAAACATTCTACAGCATGAATTGGCAATAGTTGCACTTTATTGAGTCATCAAAATCATAACTTTCATGCAGACTTTCTAAATGCTTTTATCAGACTCAGTTAGGGGTTGTCAGCTAGATGGTTCGCTAACAAACAGACTCTGTACCACCAGCTGTTATTGTGATGCATAGACTCTGCTTCAGTGTTCTTTATCCCATTTTAAAAATGATCAAACCCTAATGTTACATATTTGGAAATTGTAGAGGGTAAAAATTGTTGAAAGAATTGGTTTGTCATTTTCTGCCTCAGAAAATTATTCCTTATGCATAAAAGGAAATTGCTTTGTAATATGAAGTGCACACCTGCAGTTCTAACTTTCTGAGGCCAAAAACACACACACACACTGTCTCTCTCTATCTGTCTCAACTACAGCAGAGTAGAAGATAATAACTGTTACAAAGCAGACGCATCAGGAGCATTCATTTCAAGTCTCACTGGCACTAATGTTACTACTGTTTTGAGACACTTTGTTGTACAATGGATAAGCAGGTTCCTAAATGTTATCAAAACCTGCATGCATATGTATAAAATGACACATCCACCACATTGGGAGGTTTATCATTGTAAATATGTCTGCATCTGTGGGGATATGATATGATAATGTCATAATGATAGCCATCTATGACATACTTTACTTGTGTATTTGGATGCATAGTAGGTACTACGTTCACCTTCACTGGTTAATGTGGAATCCCAAATGAAGTGAAACACATTTTCTGAACACTTCATGTCCTCTGTGTTTGAAGGCTATCTGAGCTCACTCCAGTGGCACCATTTAATACAAGCAGAGAATGTACTAATGACAGAGCAAGGTGCCAAACCACTCATTCATGATATAGGAAACCCACCACAGACATGTCGGTCTTTCACCCTATTCCCTGTGGGAAATTAGCGGACTTAACTTAGAACTCAAATATTGTTTGATTTTCAGGGCTTATTTTATGACAACTGTCAACCATGTGTAAATGTCTCAATGTCTGCCCACTGTGACAGTAGCGCTATTGTAAAAATCAATCAGCAGGCATCTTGCCACCCCATCTAGCAAGCTTCACACTAGATTTGCATTAATGTCGACTGTGTTCCGATCCCCAGACAATCAAGAAGGCAGCGACTGGCGTGATGAAGATGAAAAACTGCCTGGCCACGAGAACCTGACGGAAAAAGATATTGAACTGTTCAGACACATCCAGGAGCTGGCACTACAGGTACACAGACAAAATATTAAATGTCTTTAAAAATTTGGTGAATGGAAAGAGATGTGACAGTGAGGAAAGAGGAGCTGAAAAGAAGCCAAATTGTAGAGTGAGACAGAATGAGCACGGGAACTTGGGAGAGAAACCTGTGAGCCTATGACAAAGGCTGCCAGGCTGGAGTCATTGAATGTGATATTATTTAAACCCACGGTGTGCAGCGGGGGAGCTGGATTTCAATGGTGATGAGAATGTGGTCAGAAAGAGCAGAGTCAACAACAGCCAGGTTGTAAAAGATCTGTAGGATGTAGGAACGTTTGTGGGTGGAAAAGTCAATGAGCTGTGAGAGACCATTGTATTTCAGCACTGAGAGAAATTAATTTGCCATGGAACAGCTGCCAGATTCAGCATGTATATTCAAATCAGCCATTAGCAGAGATGCAGAGCAGACAAGGAGTGTAGGATTCAGTAAGGATCAAAGGTTCGGTTTTAAATGTCCAGTAGTAGATGGAAATAATGAGGTAATTAAAGGCTTCACTACAGGGCAATTAAAGTATAGTGTTGTCACTGGAAATGTGCTTGAATGTCACATTCTGCTTGTGATTAATGGCAAACACTAGTCCATGTTTGATGGGACAGCGCTGGTCAGTGTAACCATACCCTGGAGGCACAACGTGGTCGTGCATGAGCCCTCTGCCAGTCACATACAAAGACACACAAAGTTGGTGTTGGTGTCAGGGGCTAAGGTTGGCCTCAGCCGGTGTAGTTACATTAGAGAGTGAGTAAAGCAGGCACATTAACAGCCCTTTTAATGCAGCGCAGCAGTAGATTGACCAGAGAGTGGTTTGTTTGGCCAGCATCATTGGAGTCACATAAAACACTATCACAGATCCCGACTGGAATATTCACACAACTGTTTAAGTGTTCGATGCAGGCAGAGTAGTAAGAGTTAATGATGTGTGAAAAGGGTCGATGTGATTATCTAGGCTGAGTAGCGGTAGATTAGAGAACATGGTCATCATAAACGATATGCAGGGTTGTAAAATTCAGAGAAGCTCCACATAAAGCTCCATCATCACGTAGCAGGTAGCTTAGTCACTGACAATTTAGGAGGAATTAGAAGGCAGGGCTTCTGCTCTCTGACTTAATTGATTGATAGTTTTAGCTCTATTATTATCTCTTTTTGGGTTCCACCCAGTGTTCTGTCTGGCTAGAGTGTAAGATCCTAGGCCAGTAGTCCCTGGTGTGCAATCTCTCTGCTTGCCACATAATCTGCTAATCTCTCCTTTAGTAAACCTGGAATTGACCTTCCATGTCTCTCCCTCCCTTTGTCGCTCACCCACACAGAAAGTCGGGGTGACGGGTCCACCAGACCCTCAGATGCGCTGTCCGTCAGTCATCGAATTTGGAAAGTTTGAAATCCAGACGTGGTATTCGTCTCCCTACCCACAGGAGTACAGCAGGTAAGCCAACCCACCATAATGAAGCACAGCAGCATAATGTACTTAGCTCCCAGTTCTGCTTGTAGGCACAGACATTACCACCAGCGTAATTATAAGGTTGTTTACAGTCCCACCTACTTTGGCAGGTAACCAACCAGAGACAGGGAGGTCATTTGATTCAGTTCCTGAGGATGTATTAATTTTTTCATGTATGTGTATGTACGAAATCTGACCCACTATTCTGCTTACCAAATCTGCCTTCATTAGGTGTTTGAGAGAGAATATTAGCATACATCCAAAGCTCACTGAGCAAAATGATCTATATTAACCCTTAAATTCAAAAATGTTAGTTATTTGCTTCTTTCAAATCAAGTGCTGTTTATTATTGATTAATCTGACAATGACTTTCTCAACTAATTGATGAATCGTTTGGTCCCTTTTCCCTTTGCAGACTACCCAAGCTCTACTTGTGTGAGTTTTGCCTGCGCTACATGAAGAGTCGCAGCATCCTGTACCAGCACATGAAGAAGTGCAACTGGTTCCACCCCCCTGCCAATGAGATCTACAGGAAGGATGAAGTCTCTGTATTTGAGGTGAGGAACTGAACTATCAGTCCATCTTTCACAGATGGACTGATAGTTTCTGAACTGAAAGATGAAATAATGTGAGGGTGGATGACACCGTAACAGAGTTTAAAGTTATTTTTATTTGTCATATGCGCAACGGTTTTAGTGAAGCAGTCACTGTTCTCATGCTCCGCCAACAATGCTCATACAATATGTACGAAATGAAAATTGTGCATGTAAAAAACAAAAAAAGAATAGATAGAGAAAGATATGCCTCTGCCGAACACACAAACCGCAGCGAGCTGTAGCCACATCCTTTACCAAAGATGCCTTTCTTCCTCCTTCTCACCTCGAAAGTACATCCAGTATTCTAACTCCACCCCGGTAGTCACCTCAAACTACACAACCCTAGAATCCTTTCTCAAAAGTGTTTTCCATGCTTTCCATAGACTTTTACCAATGCCTAATCACAATAATTTAAAATTCCTTATGGTAATTAATTGACACCTCTACCTACCGTAGTGTAATATTCTTTTGTTTATGATATCAAGGAAAGTCACTTATTATTAGAAGAATTCCTAATTACCAATTTACGTTTAAGCTCTTCTTCTGGGTCTCGTAGCGCAGCAGCAGATTAATTCAGTGGATTGTTGTCTGCAGGCCATGGCCACTGCAGCTCCTGTTACCCCGCTCTGCAGTCTATCCTCACTCGGAGGAGAGCAGAGATAACTGGCGAGCTGCCAACCTGAACCTCCCTCCTCTTTTCTCTTTACAGCTCTTTGTTTCTCTCCTCCACCCTCTCTATCTGCTGGGGTCTCCAGAGACACGGCTGAGATCATTGCCTGACACTAACTTCTCCATTCACCTTCGTTTTGTTCCACAGCTCCCTAACAGCAGCTCAAAGATGTACTTCAGGACAGTAGTGTTTCTGGGACAGTCATTTAGGAAAAACTTTGAGTCATTGTGTTGTACTGATGTGTTTTCAGGTTGATGGAAATGTGAGCACAATCTACTGTCAGAACCTGTGTCTGCTGGCCAAGCTGTTCCTGGACCACAAGACCCTCTACTATGACGTAGAGCCCTTCCTTTTCTACGTCCTGACCCAGAACGACGGCAAAGGTTGCCACCTCGTCGGGTACTTCTCCAAGGTATCACCGTGCTCCCTCATCCCTATGCTGTTGTTTTGTTTTTCATTTAGAATATTGTATCATACCGCCTTCATTTTCTAGGAATACATACGTCTGTAAACTGTAACCACCCTGTGCAAACTTCAACAACTTCATGAACAAAAATGGAGGGACAAATATATTCAAATTAAATGAAATTGAAATGCATTGGCATCTCCCCATACTAGTGCATTCCTTCAAACATACAAATGCTTGTGTTGTGTCCCAGATAAACACTGGGCTCTGTGAGCTCCGTTACCCCTCTGTGGAGTTTGCAGTCGCAGGTGCTCCCATTAACATGCCACCTCGCTGCCAAAACACAGCAGTTAGTGAGCGGACGCAGCATCATCAGCACCCTGCTGTACACCCACACAGGCCTGCTCTGTGATGTAGTTTCCATGATTTGTTGTTTTCTAATGGTGGAATGCGTTTGTGCCTGTCCCTCTTTTTCAGGAGAAGCACTGTCAACAGAAGTACAACGTATCATGCATCATGATTCTTCCACAGTACCAGCGCAAAGGCTATGGACGCTTTCTCATTGACTTCAGTAAGGGCTTCAGCCTCAACACACACACACACACACACACACCAGTAACTGGAAAATGTGACTGTTGATACTCTTTCTGATGCACAAAATTTCATGTGATGCTATTGTGGCTCATGGTGTCTGTGTCTTTGGTTTGTTCCTCCCTGTCTGCAGGCTACTTACTGTCCAAGCGCGAGGGCCAGCCAGGATCTCCAGAGAAGCCTCTGTCGGACCTAGGTCGGCTGTCCTACATGGCCTACTGGCGCAGTGTGGTGTTGGAGTGTCTCCACGAGGTCCGCGATCGGCAGATCACCATACGACAACTTAGCAAACTGACCGGGATCTGCCCACAGGACATCACTACCACCCTGCACAGCCTCAACATGCTGGAGCAGCGAGGAGACAGGTCAGAGACAGGACCAGCATGCACTCAAAAAACACATTATTTTGTGCTGTATAAAATGGGTCAGAGGTTAATACTGTAGTCCCATATAGTTCCCTAGCTCCTCTATATTGCATAGTGTTACAGGTACATTGAGATTCTCAGTGAGCTGTACTTGTAATAAACCTGTAGTTTAATTTTTTTTTTTTTTTTTAGAACTTCCTCTGCATTAGCATGCTACATAACGTACTATAGTGCAGTGGGAGACAAAGGGAGGATCTGGTTTCTAGACGCTACTTAGTCACAATGTATTAAAGGATCTTGTAAAGCTTAACCCAAATGAAACAGAATATGGCCAGTAGCCAGGTTACACCTTGCGTGTAAACAAAGCCAGCCAAAATGTACTTTAGTAGGATCATTGCTCACAAAGCAGTCTGATGTATTTCAGTTCCACTGACCCTCAGTATAGGTTAGGTGTCCTGCTGCTGCTTTAATTAATTAACTTCATTTTGAAACCCTGGTAACACTTAAAATACTTTACACTTTGATAACAGGAGGAAGCATGATGGGCAGTTGGCTGTGTGTAATTAACACTGTTTCAGTTTACACCAGTGGTTAATGTCCTATCACTGTCTGAGAGTGTTGACCTATGAAACAGGGTTTTTGGTCACAATGATGTGAACAAAAACAAAATAAGTGACAAAATTTCACAGAATGTTGAAGTTGAGAAGCTTCCGTAATGTAAATACGCATAGACATACCAAAAATACACAACACTTCACATGGGCTTCGCAAGCTAACATTAACACATAGCTGTGATGCACACATACATACACTGACATACACGGCCACAGTAATGTGATTTCTCTGTACTTGCATGTGCATACAGAGTTATAATGCTCCTCTTTCTTTTTGCTCTGGTTCCATCAGGATGGTTCTGGTGCGAAGGGAGAAGCTGGTGATTAACCACATGACTCGCCTGAAGGCCCGGCCACGGCAGCTGGAGGTCGACCCCGAGTGTCTCCGTTGGACTCCTGTCATTGTAACCAACACTGTGGTGTCTGACGCCGATGGAGATGATGACGATGACGAGGAGGATGAGGAACCAGAGGAAGACAACCGCAAAGAGGTAAATACGTTAAATTTATATTTGTGAGATAAAAGATTGATCCCAAAGTTGCTGTACATTCTTGATTAATTATTAATTTTATTTAACTTTATCTGTAAACAGATCAAACCAAGTCACAAGGTCCCACCAATGTCCTGGCACATGCGCCAAAAGAAGAAGAGGGACGAGGAGGAGGAAGAGGAAGAGGAAGAAGAGGAGGAAAGAAAGGGCTTCCTGGGGTTTCCGATTAGCCAAAGCTCTCCAACTTCCCCTCTCGTTCGCTGTCCACCCCCTGTCCCAGAACCAACACGACCCCCTCCCCCAGCAAATGGGGAACGCAGACCACGGGGACGCCCACCCAAAAACTGGCCTTGGGGGAAGGTGAAAGACAGTGCACGGGTTGGACGACCGCCTAAGAACCGCCCTGTGGAGGACGAGGATGATGAAGATGAGGAGAGGACAGAGGGAGGAAAAACCGCAGGCTCTGCCAGCAGCCCCCCTTCCCTTTTCTCCCTGGACAGACAAGCAGAGTCCACAGCTTTTCACTCACTAGACATGGCCAGGCCCTCTATAACCCCTACGCGAAGAGGGCGGCCCCCAAGGAAAAAGAGAGGCCCTAAGCCTAGACTGACAGAAGGGCCTGGAGAGGGGCTGGCACAGCTTCCTGTCGTTTCCAGGTTGAATGAGTCTCCACCTGTCAGGAAGAGCTGCTTCAGTGAAAGCAGTGAAGAGGAGGAGGATGACGATGATGAAGATGATGAAGAGAGAAGGGCATGCTCTCCACCCATCCTCACCAAGCCTGCCATGGGGCTTAAATGCAAGGTAAGAAGCTAACAGTGTTCAGATTTACTGGTTCTGAAATAATGTTTCATTCTAACAAATCTCATTTCTGGGTCTGTAGTTATCATTTAAAGCAAAATTTCAAAGGCACACCTAATTCCCCGTCCTGTTTCTACCTAGAAGCCACTGAGGAAGCGTCGCTTTCGCCAGCGTAGCCACCCTCACAGCAGCGTGGTGACAGAGACCATTTCTGAGACCACAGAGGTGTTGGATGAGCCCTTTGTAGACTCAGACTCAGAGAGGCCAATGCCCAGGCTGGAGGAGGAGACGCCCCTGGGCCACCCACTGCACCGCTACCCCCCAGGCCGTTCTGCTCTGAGGTTGTCTGACCCAGCACCCAAAAGGGGCCGGCACTCCAACCTCACAGATTCAGAGGAAGACGGTGAGCAGACAAGCTTTTGCTGTCAGAAGTGGGCAGGACTTGATTTTTGGTTTGTATACACAGCCATACATGCAACTTTATTTAACACTGGCTTTTCTTCTTGCCTCCCCTTTAGAGTTAACACCTGTGCTGAAGCCCGTGGCTGCTCTGCCAGCAATGCCATCAGAGAACCTATCGTCCAACCCTGAGGTCCCAGTCAAGAAGAAGAAAGGGTGGCCCAAGGGAAAGAGCCGCAAACCACTGCACTGGAAGAAACGGGGACCTGGTAAACCACCTGGGCCCAACCAGCGAGCAATCACCGACAGCCAGGCCCAAAGTGGGGATCCTCCACCCCCCAAAATCAAGATGAAGCCTGGCCGCAAGCCCCGGAGCTGGTATCTGCAGCGAGCCCAGGAGGAGGCAGAGAGGCAGGAGCAGGAAAGACTGTTGGAGCAGCAGCTGGACAAAGACCCTCAGCTGCTCCAGACAGATGAGCGGAAGCGAGTCTGCAGAACCAACACCGACAGAGACAACAAACAGAAAGACTCTGATGAAGAAGATGACTTTCTCCCTAAGCCTGTTGAGCAGAAGG